GGTGAAAGTTGCTTTTAATACACATCTGCAGTATGCTAACCTTCAGAGAAAGCATCTCTCAAACACCATCACTAAAAACTAGAGAAGTGATTGTTTCAATACCTTTTTTAGATGTCACATAGGCTTAACAGCATTTCATGCACAGTGATTTTACAATGATTAATTTTTCTCAGCTTTTTCATTTTAAAGTCTTTGGTAATGCAGTATTTTTCAATGAACAATTTCATGGAAATTTTATAATCCTTCTGATATTTGTTTTGTCCACATATTGCCATGACTTTGCTTTTGTTTAAATCCTGGCCTTCTTGGCTGCTAAGCATTCCCTTTACTGTTGGTACCTGTTCTACCAGTCTCTCAATGACTAAAATTAATATGGCAGATGTTTTTCCTGGTTTTAGTAAAATCGTTGAGAAACCTAATTATATTTTTTAATAAAGTTATGACATAGAACTTTTCTATATTTGTACCACTTACAATGTACCACAAAGACAATGCACAAACTTGAAGGATGTACATATACCAAAAGATAAAGTATTTAAGAACTTTTTTTGTGAACTTTTATCTCTTAAAAAAAATTACAGGCTTTGTTTTTGTCTTTTTATTTACTTTTCTTCAATCACCAGGGAGGTAAATGGACTTATGAAGGCCTCGAGTTTCTGTCCTTAATTTGACATTATGTGGGAAGTTTTCATGGTTTAGTAGGTAACCAACAAACCTAACAATATCTTACGATTCCATCAGACAAAAGGAGTCGTCACTACCTGGAATTCCTGGACACTGCTACCTGCACCAGCAAAACTTGTTTGAATGTACGTTGCATGAATCTGTTTCTTTAGTCCTTTTTTTTTTCCCTATATACTAATATATAAATTCTGACAAAATGAGCACAGTAAACCAATCTGGCTAGCTCACAAAGCAAAGAAACAGAACATCATGTTGTTACATTTGATTCCAGTGTTTTGAATAAATGTACACTTACTAAAGGTAAGGAAATGATGAAAAGTATATTGGGGAAATGTTCAGGTACATTTAAAAATCAATTCTTCTTCATCCCCTTGGGTGTTTACATTCACCTACTGAAACATTTTCAGGGAGCAATTTTGAAGTATATATCCTTGAGTTATTCACATCAAAGATGATAAACTCCACAAAACACTCAGATGATCAAGAATTTTGAAAAACTGATGAATTGATAGTATGCATTGAATGTGCTTTCTTGGCTGTATCATGGTATTTGGCATGTAAGATAAAGCAGGCTTAGAGAGGACACAAAATATTGTGGATGAAAACCTGAATAAGAAGAACGCATTTAGCAACATGTCTCAAAAACTGCCCATGTAGAAATCATACCAGGAGCTGACAGCTTCTTTAATGGCTTGTATACACAGCCATTCTAGAAAGGGTTTGTTCTAAGCACTTTCTAAGGAAACTAGTGAAGAGCAGTATCAGAGTGTTGAATAATAAAATAGAGCAATAGAGTTCCTCCTTACAGCATGAAGAAAACTAATTAGTGACAAATCCTGGCAGGGTTTACTTCCTACCCACATCAATACATCTATACGTCCAGGAAACTATTATTTTCACTCTTCCTTCAGTCTCTCTGTTCAGTAACAAGGCTTTCAATCGCTCTCTTTGGTTACTCTGCTGATAACTGCTGCTCCTTGTTGTGATTGTTATTGGACTGTTTGATTTTTTTTGTGCTGGTACATCAATGGTTTTCTTTATACTGTAGTCTCATGAGAGCCTCATGAACCTCTCAGCAATAAACAGAGACATATCTGCATAATCCCATCAATATACATGCTCAGGCAGGTCGTTTGACAGTTATGCATCTCTTCCAAACACAGTTTACAAAGGTAAAGGTCTCTGGATATTGAGTACCATTTATTTAGACTCTCACACTCATCTCATTGTCAGTATTGAGGACATTTCCGTCAATTAACAAATACCATTCAACTTTTCAGAGATAAGGAGCTATACAAATGATGTTGCACAGTTTGTATTCAAGCCACCAAAAAGACTATTTCTCTCAGTGATCACCAAATAACATTTCTGTGGTCATTTCAGAAACTTCT